CCCCGCCTCTCCTCCCATTTCCGGGGATTTGAGATTCTCAAACCATAAAATGTGGAATCTAAAACTAGCAGAAATGCTAGCACCATTCAGCGCAGCTCAGTAAATACTGGACAGAACTTCAGTCTAAACAAAGAGATTCTAAAAAAAAAGAGAAAACTCAAATTTAATGCATTCAAAATCATAAACCTTGAAGGACACGCGTAATTTTGCTATCGCGATAGGGTACATATTCCTTTGGCTTGTCTGCCAGCACCGAAATAACCGCGCCCAATACATACAATCCTTCATTTATATTGATCCCTTCTCGCATCCGTTCCCCCTCCGCTTGCGTCTTTTTCAGCCTTTCCGAACCCGCCAAATCCACAAGTTGCAGCTTCGAGCTGCATTCCGATAAAAAAATTTATTCAAATGATAATGCAGTACATAAAAGCTAATGAAACCACACGCATATTTGGGAACTATGGCAAATATGTGCAAATTTGATCAGAACACTAAATTTTAAAACGCTCTAAGAGCGGAATAAATACGCAATCCGAAAATTCTAAAAGTCTTAATTCATTATAAATCCTAAAAAATTTTTTTTTTAATTTATCGTTTTAAATTAATTAATTAAGCTTTAATTTTTAATTTTAATTTAAATTAAATTTGTCGAATTTTACAAATGAGAAAACCTTGTTTCTTCGCCCCTTTTTTCAATCGTTAGTGTGAAAATTGCATGGGAGCGAGACGACGCATCATTCATTGCTGTGCCACCTTTCGTTCGCGATCGGCATCCTTTTTTCAGAATTTTCATTGCGTCTTCCAGCCCGGTGACTGCATGAACTGACAATCCTTGTACCTGAACAAAAAGCATGAAACCATGCCGTAGAATCCAGCATTTTACATTCGAAGAAAACAGACAGCTGGAAAACAAGTGTCAGGTTACTCTCGAGTCCGATGAAGAACCTCTATGTTCACACAGTTACGGAATGACTTTTTTCAGTTGCGTTGGTGGCGCAAAAAAAGTGAATAATGATGAAACTGATGCTAATTGTAGCACCAAAATATTCGAATAAAAAATTCTAGTGCTTGTTGCAAAAGGAACAAAGTGTTAACAGCAAGGAAACGAAGCTACCGGCTAAATTCCTTCGCCTTGCTCAGTTTCTGTTCGATCTTATACGATATGCAAATGCCCCTTTTCCTGACATGAGATCCCCCCCCCCCTCGTGATATGCAATTAGAAATGAAATGGACACGAGTTCCCCCTTTCCCCCTTCCTCTCCTTTCCTTTTTAATATGTAATGATGTGATTAGCAATGAAATGGCGACTGTTTTTGTGGCCAGAATATTGTGCGGTGGCGCCTGGGGCTGTGCGGTTCGCGCCTCTTACATAACTTATTCAGTGACAGCTTGGAGATTTTATGGGGTTTGGAGTTTGATTTTTATTTTATGGGGTTTGATTTTACCGAATTTTACCGATTACCGAATTATCAAAAACGAAAAAATTACCAAAAACCGAATTACCGAATTTTATGGGGTTTGATTTTTTTGTGTGTGTGCTCGCACACATTTTTTTTTTTTTTTGATTTTTTAAAATGTACATGTACATTAAGTGTGTACATTGATTTAAAGTGATTTTTTAAAATAAAGAATTGTTGGTTTGGACGAGTGCACTCGCAGCCCCTCCTACGGCCGAGCAGGCCCTTCTCCGTGCATTGTATACTTTTCCAGCAAAAAATTTCAATACTTACGTAAACAACTCCCTTCTTTGATTCGCGTATTTTCAATGCATCCCGGTTGCCGGTACAGATTAGATCATATATTTTTTCTTCGTGAATTTCCAACATCGAAGCCGCAACACTGTGCTGGCCCGAATTTCCTATACGCTCGAATATTTCGCCGATAATTCGTGGCGCTATGCCAAATTCTGCTGCATTCTAAAACAGATTTTTTTTTTTTTTTTTGATTAAACATCAATTTTACTGAGAAATCAGTGTTTTTTCGAGAACTGGAAAGTTTGCTTTCATAGGCTTCTGATTCCACTAGCGTTGGAATGCGAGGTATCATCATAGCTGGTCACCGCTAAGTGTTCTTGAAGCGTTATCGGAATCTCTGGTACGAGCGACCTTCTGGTGTCAT